TGTATATTTTGGTTGGAATATAGTGGGAAACATTTGTTTGTAGTCTTGCTGCAAGTATTTTTTGCATGTCGCTGATTAAACGGATCACAGCGTATCTTTCAGTCGAATACTCCTCTGCTTATTTTTGCTTGTTTCATCTCTCGTTTGTATTATAAATACATTAATATGCTACTCATTTACTTCCGGTTTCGGTTGTCAACGACAGCGGAAACGTAATCTGCTTGTCATCAACTCTGCCGGTCTGCCCGTTGCTCGAATTACTTTCTTATTCTCCGCGTGCAGCGTTTGCCTTATTTGTTGGCCTTGTTGTAGTTGATGTTGTCATCTTGCGTATTTCCGCGGTTCGGTATTCCCTTTCAGTTGCGGTCTGCGCTTGGCTTCCTGTTTGTCTTCCATTTCTGTTCTGTCAGTATTTATAAAATACAATATGTCAAAGTTCGAGGGTCCCTTTATAAGCGATCCTTATAGATGTATCCAAGGTGCGGAAAATTGACTGCTGATTTTAACGCAATAAACAAAATACAATCCGCATAATTGATATGAGATTTATAAAAAAAAAGGTTACTTTTAATATAATTGAAATTAATTTAAGTGACAAGAAATGCGAAATTTCAGTCAATGACACCAGATACCTGGGGTGTGAAATTGCATTAGACCTAATTTTCGGAGTTTAAGTTAACTTAAATATAATTTAAAGCTCACAAATTTTAAATCCATATTTCTATTTATTTTCTAGACATCATTTGTAATGAATCTTTTGTAGTAGAACAAAATTAAATATGGATAATTGCTGCACTTATTACAAATTTATTTAAATGCATTATTACGTTAATTCTAATTTTAAACAGTTTATCCGTGTAATGAGCTCTTTTCAGATATTATTGCAACTTGTGATTAAAATTCGCAAATAATTGAAAATATTTCACACTTGCCTATCCATTAAATATTCCCGGCTATTAGGAGAGCCAGCATGCAATCAATCCCGCTCCCACACAGACATTTTTGATAATCAACAATTCGCTTATCAGAATTTATGCAAACGTTTGCAATTGATAATTGAATGCACAGTTACACGAGAAAATGTGTAAAAAGGCCATGTAATGGATGTGTGAGAGTTATTCTCTGAATTTGTAATGAAATTCAAATAGAAATGCACGTAAATCGTGCTCTAAATATTTAAGCAGTTCGTCCCCACTTCTTTTCAATTTCAATTTCCTTTTAACTAGAATAACACTCATTTAAGCACAAAATACATATATATGTGTGTATATAAATGTGTACAGAAATATACACATATTTGGCCTCAACAAATCGCTCACGTGTGCACAGAGTTAGCGAAGTAGTATTACAGATATTTGCTCACTGCCAGCTGGCAACAGCTACAGCTGCAGCTGCAGCTGCAGCAACAGCAACAGCAACAGCAATAGCAACAGCAACTGCAACTCGGCTTGCAATTACATTTACGCTGGCTTGTGTCCTTGTAGCTGCAGCAAGGAAGCTCATCAGCTCTGTGGCTCAGGCCGACATTAAATTGTATTAGCCTAAAAACATGTTATTGGCCCAACTAAAGCAATCACATTGAAAGAGAATGCTGCAGCACTCCTTAGACGGATCGCCGCACTTATGGTCCTCTTGGTCCAAGTGGCTCTTGCTGGCTGCACGCTAATAAAACCAAAATATTATGCAACAAGTAAGCAACGAGTTGGCCAAAGTCTATGCAGCTCCRTGTTTGCGCTTTATTAGCTGCCCGGCTTGAGCCACCTTTTCAGTGTGGCCCTCAACTCTGCCACGCCTCCCCTCTACGCCTTGTCATAATCCCGTGTAAAATTGTTTTTCAACTGCAGAATGCATTCTGTGTTGCTGT